TGCATTGTTGGTTGGATTGACTGGACGGACGGACGGACGGACGGACGGATGAATGGATGGATGCATTGTTGGTTGGATTGACTGGACGGACGGACGGACGGACGGACGGATGAATGGATGGATGCATTGTTGGTTGGATTGACTGGACGGACGGACGGACACACGGACGGACGGACGGAAGAAGGGATGGATGCATTTTTGGTTGGATTGATTGGATGGATGGACGGACGGACAAACGGATGAATACCTTGCGAGGCTCCCATGAGAAAGATCATGTAGATCGTGACGAATCTTAGCAGATCGCCTTTGATCATCTTGTAAATCATGACAACGAACGGACCGATTTTCTTGAATCCCCTGCAACGTAGCAAGAAAGACAACGCATGCGCACTGACAACAAGGTAAGGTTGTCGCGTTAACAAGAAACGTCTATAAGTTATACTCTACAGAAATCAATATACGGTCGTCTTTTGCGTAAGGCGTCCGTAAGTGAGAGTTAGACCCCTGGCGTCGGCTTTGCTTGCTTTGACTTCTAAGACTGGTCTTGAGAAAGGTGTGCGAACAGAAGAAGAACAAATGTGGCGAAATTCCCTCGTAGATACAACGTAGATACGATGGTCAATAGCCAACAACAGACTGCTCACGGTCAACCTCCCAGAACACAAACCGCGTGTGGCTTCTCACCCTTAAGACAAAATGAGTTAGCTACGGTCCTGTCGTTTCACGGGATATCCATGGACATACCGACAGAAAAATAACCAATATGGCGCCGTCGTGAGCACAGCGAGGACCGCCATGATGTATTCGCTCTCGCACCAGCAGAAGATTCTGGCCGGCACCATGAACATGATCAGAGCACACGAGACGAGAAAGATGGCGCGCGCCGGGGTCGTCATCTGCAAAACATCCAGATGGCGCCACCATAGCACGGTTGTCAACATGTCGAGCAGCGGTATTACATGATGGGTGACGTCATGAAAATACATTAGGATTAGGCGTAGCTATAGAATTAGGATTAGAACTAGGATTAGGGTGAGGGTTAGTGGCGGGATTAAGGTTATGGTTAGTGAGTGGGTTAGTGTTAGTGATAGTATTACGGTTACAGTTAGTCATATGGTTAGGATTATTTATAGGGTTAGAGTCAAGGCTAGGGGTAGGGTTAGGATCATGGATAGTTATAGCGTTAGGGTTAATGCTGGGGTTGATGTTAGCATTAGAGTTACGGTTAGGGTTAGATTTATGGCTACGACTAGGGTTAGAGGTTATGTACATGCTAGGCCACATGCTATTCCCCCAGATAGACCCTGATTGGTATCCCCTTGCAACATGGAATTCAATGGTAACCAAGTAACAAACTTGCTGCCAGCGCATGCCGTAGGTGAGATATGTGTGCAATTTCTGATGACCAAATGAATGTAGAAACGTCCGCAATGGCTAAAATGAACAGATCTTGCCCACGTCACGACTAATATAATTTAAGCGCAATAATTATGTAAAAAAATACGTTGTCTTACTAGCGTGCTGAGAAATGAAGCCAGACCCTGGTAACCAATCTCCCGGCCTGCAAGGAGCAAGTAGCAGCAAGCGCCTCCTAGTGTTAGAAGTTCCAGCGGCAGTCGCACCTGTCAAACGCGTCAGTCAAACAACCGGAAAATGAGAGTTAAAAATAGAACATGTTTTTTTTGCTTGGATGCATATTGTAACTTGGAAACGAATCAGTAAATCAAAATGAGAAATATCTAGCGAGACCAAACCCAACTAAAATCTTCATTTACTCAGAGGAATATGTGTTTTATATGCAAATGTTTTCGGTCAATTATATAAAGCTATAAAATTACTTTTATTTTATGAGCAATCATTGTAATTGACAATGACCTCGTTGCCTTTATCGAGGTAAAAAACGGTGATTCACCTCCACAGATTGCAGCAGGTTACAAAGGCCAAATAAATTGAATGGCCTAAATAAGTAAAATGAAATAAAATAAATATTCCCTTGCATTACGATTGAATCTAATTATATATATATATAATGAGTACATTATTAGATTATATTACTATGTCTTCCGGGCTCGTCGTTATGCGAAGGTAACACTTGTCGCTGATCTCGCAGGTGACAGAGGTCACTGGGTTGTGAGATTGAGTCGTAGAAGACGGTTCACGATTGTCGACGGTGGTTAGTGACATCTCCGGCCGTGTTGGTAGAGCTAGTGGGACAGCGTTAGCAGTGGTCAGTGGCTGCTCTGGCCGTGCTGGGAGAGCTAGTGGGTCAGCGTTAGCAGTGGTCAGTGGTTGCTCTGGTCGTGTTAGGAGAGCTAGTGGGTCAGCGTTAGCAGTGGCCAGTGGTTGCTCTGGTCGTGTTGGGTGAGCTAGTGGGTCAGCGTTAGCAGTGGTCAATGGTTGCTCTGGTCGTGACTTGTGAGGAACCTTAGGAGTGTCAGCAATGTTTACTTGTGTCTGTGATTCTGCAGATGTTCTAACATCGTCAATGGTCAGTGATGCTTTACGACCTTTCGGCGGGTTGTCAAAGGTGAGCGCTTGTGTGTATGATTCCGTGGTGCTGGCTGGCACGCTAACATCAACAGTGGTCAACGGATTTCGAAGACCTTTAAGAGTGGCAGAAGTAGACGTTAGTGTCGGTTGCCTTGTAGCGTAGGTAGGTAGGGATTTTGCATCAGCAGTGGTCAGTTGTGTGTGTGGTTCCGTGGATTGGGCTGGTACATTAACACCAGCAGTGGTCAGTTGTGCGTATGGTTCCGTGGATGGAGCTGGTCCATTAGCAGTAGCCAATAGCGTGGCTTTCACGCAGGGGTCGGCCGAGGTTGAGCGATCGAGAGACCCTACTGGGGTACTCGGCTTCCACGACGCGTCGGAAGGTGTTAGTTCCTCCTTGCACCACGCGGGGGAGCCTGGATCGGACAATTCAGTAGCGGTGGTTCGACCTAGTGGGCAGTTGGTGATGGGCGGACCCGGCCTG